ACGAACAACAGAATTGGGGCAAACTTCCCACACAGAACTCCAATGACCAACAGAAAATACTTAAGACCATCCAATCCAACTCCCTTCATCAGGGCAATAAAACGTAAACAAAGTCCTGACAAAGAGCCCATCCTGCCATAGAAATAGATAGATAGATAGATAGATAGATAGATAGATAGATAGATAGATAGATAGATAGATAGATAGATATGATTCACACACACAGAGATGTCATAGATTTGAAAGGGACCCCTAAAGAAGGACAGTGATATCTTGCATGTTCCAGGGTGGGCAAACCAGACACTCTCCACATCAACACTGACAAAGAAACAGCAAGAAATACTGTTTACCCACAAACATAAAGAAATTACATAAATTAGAAACCAACACTTTCTCATCCCCTTTATTTTCCAGATCAACAGACTGGGCCACAGCAACACGTGGCAGGGGACAGCTAGTGTGTGTGTGTGTGTGTGTGTGTGTGTGTGTGTGTGTATATATATATATATATATATATATATATATATATATGAGAGACAGATATAGTAACATAGATTTGAAAGGGACCTCTGAGAAGGATAATTATATGTTGCATGTTCCAGACTAGGCAAACCAGGCAGTCTCTACATCAACACTAACAAAGAAACAACAAGAAATACCATTTGATCACAAGCATCAAGAAATTACATATATTAGAAACCTGCACTTTCACATTACTTTATTTTCCAGATCATTCTGCAGATCACCAGACTAGGACACAGCAACGTGTGTCAGGGGGTGGCTAGTCAGAAATAAAGCCGTTTCCTTTTTTAAAAAAGAAGAGAATAGGTTGGATACAGCGTGCATTAAAAACCTAAGCAAGTTCTAGGCATGCTTTCCTGTCTTAACTTCACCAAAGAGCCCCTGGAATTTGCAATTTCGAGTCACAGGATTTTGCAAGGTTTGCCTTGCGTTTCCCCCTCTTGCTTCCTCTTTCTTTGGCCTCTCCTTTTACTTGCCAGGGAGCTCTGCTTCCATATTTGGAGCTCCTTGGCCCGACTTCTGGCCTCACATCTGCTTGGTGGAGGAATTGGGTAGGTTTCTTTTTTCTACTTGCCCGTATATGGGAAAGCAGCTGGAGGAGTCCCATAACTGGCCTGGATGGGAAGTTAGGCAACCTCTGGAGCGCTGGGTTTCTCATGATGAGCTGATAGCCATCCCACCCTTTCTTCCCTGGTTTCCCTAGGAACACCCTGGAAAGGACAGATGTGCTCTTTTGACTTCTGCAGCTGCATCATAACAGTCTGTAGCCTTATACACCTTTGTATTACCAAGACAATTTGGTAGGAGAGGACAAGCAAGAAAACCTGTATGTCAGCTAGCTAGTTAATAACTCATTTAGGGGCAATGGCTTTCTGGGAGAATTTATGTTAGCAAGCGTATTGCCAAAAGATGTACTATGAGTCCTTTGTTCTACTCAGGATTTCTGTTTGTTTTATCGTCTTGAGATCCTGGAACCTTTTTCTGCAGCCAAAACAAACTTTTGTGATCTCTCACTCAGTGGTCTTATCTGGCTGTGGACCAGATCCCATTATCAGGGATTAATACTACTACTACTACTACTACTACTAATAATAATAATAATAATAATAATAAAAGTCCAAGGTATGATCCAATTCAACAGCCAGCAGAGTGTCTGCTGTGGACTCATCTTGTTGTTTTTCAAATAATAATAATAATAATAATAAAGTCGCGAAGAGTTGGAAATGATTGAACGAATGGACAACAACAACAATCCCACCAGCCTGTGACAAAGAACTGGTGGGATCACAAGCCGGAAAAAGTTACAGAGAATGAACACGCCAAACTCCTCTGGTACTTCCGGATTCAGACAGACAGAGTTTTGGAGCATAATACTCCTGACCTCACAATCGTGTTAAAAAACAAAGTATGGATTGTCGATGTTGCAATCCCAGGTGACAGCAGGGTGGAAGAGAAACAACTGGAAAAGCTGACACGATATGAGGATTTAAAGATCAAATTGCAAAGACTCTGGCACAAGCCAGTAAAGGTGGTCCCAGTGGTGATCGGCACACTGGGTGCAGTGCCTAAAGACCTTGGCCTGCACTTAAACACAATTGGTGCTGACAAAATTACCATCTGCCAGCTGCAGAAGGCCACCTTACTGGGATCTGCACGCATCATTCACCGATACACCACACAGTCCTAGACACTTGGGAAGTGTCCAACACAACAGCCAGCAGAGTGCTGTGGACTCATCTTGTTGTGTTTCAAATAATAATAATAATAATAATAATAATAATAATAATAAGCTTTATTTATATTCAGCTCTATCTCTGAGGGGACTCAGAGCAGATTACAGTATACACATATATAGACAAACATTAAGTTCCTTTTATGCAGTGAACAACAATGACAAACAATACACAAACAAAGGCAAAGGTTTCCCTTTCCATCTCTGGCGTCTGGAGGCGATGCCAACTCTGGCCATAGGGAGGTGTTCTTGTTCCATTTTCCCATGCCAAGGAGCCTGTTGTCCGTAGACCCTCCTGGTTGTGTTGCTTGCATGGCTGCATGGACTCCTTTTACCTTCCTGCTGAGGCAGTACCTATTGATCTACTCACATTGCATGTTTTTGAACTACTAAGTTGGTAGAAGCTAGGGCTAACAGCAGGAACTCACCCTGACCCACAACTTCGAACTGCCAACATTCTGGTTAGCAAGTTTTTTCTGCAGCCAGCAGTTTAATCCATTGTGCTACTGCAGCTCTAACTACAGTATATTAATCCAGATCAGCAAACTGATACAATCCCACACCTACCCAAATGATCATGTAGATGTGCCCTGGTTGTGAATAAATATCAAACATTAAGTATATCTCCATTAGGACTTATTTATTGGGCTTGCACTTGTTTAACTTAACCTTCTTTTGTTTTTATGCAAGGCCTTGGGAAGATCAAGTTGCTTCTTGATTCAGACAATGCTCCAGTTTACAATTTGGTTTGGAAACTAGCCATGGGACCACACTCTTTCCTCTTGCAACTGTACTTTACATTTCCCTTTGAGCACTAAACACAGATTACTGTCAAGTCAGAATCAGCCAACCATAGATAATACTTGGCATCCAAATCAAAACTGGAATCCCGTTGTTTTGGTTTGGAGAACAAGTAGCAACCACAGATTGTGAATGTTTAGATGGTTTGTACTAAAATGAAAGCTGAAAGAAAACCCACAGATACTGGAGAAGAAGAGAGAGTGCTCATGGCTTGGTCCTGATTTTCCAAATTTAGATTCAGATCTCCGTTTTAAAACATTTCTGCTTGGCGAGCAAGTAAATTCTCATTTTTTTTGACATCAGGAGTGACTTGAGAAACTGCAAGTTGCTTCTGGTGTGAGAGAATTGGCCGCCTGCAAGGACGTTGCCCAGGAGTTGCCTGGGTGTTTTACCATCCTGTGAGAGGATTATCTCATGTCCCTGCATGGGAAGCTGGAGCTGACAGATGGGAGCTCACCCCACTCCTCAGATTCAAACCAACAACCTTTGGCATGAGGATTTAACCCATTGCACCACCTGGGTCTCCATAGTGTGGCGGGATGGTGTGACTAAAGAAGCACATTCAGAGCAGGATTTCTCACCATAAAACTTTTATATAAACTGTATAAACTATTCTATAAACTAAAGTTCTAAATGGGGCCATTTGGATTGAATTCCAAATATTTCCGATTTCCAACTCTCCTTCCTCACAATACTCTTAGCATTTTGCATATTATACAAAGGTTGTTCACTGCAAGCAAAGGGTTTTCAGTTGTTCTGCCTCATTTGCTCCTGCCATATCTTTTGGCACATCTTGAATTGCCAAGTTTTGAGAAACAGTGAAGAAAGGGACTTCTGAATTTCCTCAGAGACTTGCATTCTTGTAAATTTCCATGCCAGGTGAGCTAGCAGATGTTTATCACAGATTGCTAGCCAAATGGCCTCCTCCCTCCGCCGCCCACCTTTCCCTGCAGTGTTTTCAGGCGTGGGAGGATATATTCCAAGGCCTCTTGCCTTGGTCCTCCAGACAGTGTGTGTGTTTATATGTGGGCTTTCGTGACTACCAGACAAGGTTTCCTATCTCTAACGCAGTGTTTCTCAACCTCAATCCCAGCAACTACAACTCCCAAATGTCAAGGTCTATTTAACCTAAATTCCACCAGTGTTCACATTTGAGCATACTGAGTATTTGTGCCAAATCGGTCCAGATCCATCATTGTTTGAGTCCACAGTTCTCTCTGGATGTAGGTGAACTACAACTCCAAAACTCAAGGCGAATGCCTACCAAACCCTTCCATTATTTTCTGTTGGTCATGGGAGTTCTGTGTGCCAAGTTTGGCCCAATTCAATTGTTGGTGGGGTTCTGAATGCTCTTTGATTGTAAGTGAACTTTAAATCCCAACAACTACAACTCCCAAATGTCAAGATCTATTTAACCTAAATTCCTCCAGTGTTCACATTTGAGCATATTGAGTATTTGTGCCAAATCGGTCCAGATCCATCATTGTTTGAGTCCACATTTCTTTCTTGATGTAGGTGAACTACAACTCCAAAATTCAAGGTCAATGCCACCAAACCCTTCCTGTTGACCATGGGACTTCTGTGTTCCAAGTCTGATTCAATTCCATCTCTGGTGGAGTTCAGAATGTATTTGATTGAAGGTGAACTATAAATCCCAGCAACTACAACTCCCAAATGACAAAATCAACCTGCCAACCCCACCAGTATTCAAATTTGGGCATATCAGGTATTTGTGCCAAATTTGGTCCAGATAATGAAAATACATTCTGCATATTCAATATTTACATTCTGATTCATCACAGTAGCAAAATGACAGTTGTGAAGTAGTACCAAAAATAATTGTATGGTTGGGGGTCACCACAACATGAGGAACTGTATTAAGGGGTTGTAGCATTAGGAAGGTTGATAAACACTGCTCTGATGGATCCTAATCTCTTGCTTCCAGATTAAGAAACAACAGCAAGATGTGCTTGGCTTCTTGGAAGCCAACAAGATTGAGTTTGAGGAGAAAGACATAGCGGCCAATGAAGAGAACCGCAAGTGGATGCGGGAAAACGTCCCCGAAGAGAGCCGTCCAGCCACCGGGAATCCCTTGCCGCCGCGGATCTTCAATGACAGCCGGTATCTTGGGGTAAGCGCCAGATTTCCATTATCAGCCTTTGGGCAAGACTACATATAGTATGTATAATATATCTTGGAGCTATAGAATTCAAGCCTAGACATGACATTCATATAGATTTACCATATACACGTAGCCTGATAGTATTCACAATATTTTTTAAAATAATTTTGTGCATGAGATGACATTTCTGTGCATCGAAGCATCACAAAAGAAAGGTGTCACTACCTCAGCCATCCCCATATTCAGTTTTGGATTTTGATGTATTTCGATTTAGGGAATTTTGGATAGGGATGCTCAAGTTGTAATAGGATCCAGAAAGATGGAAACCATGATTCTAGTCCTTCTTTCTGTCTGCATTTTGAGAGAACACACTTGCCAATATGGAATATCCATAACTGACTGAGGTAATGTGATATTTTCAATATTACAAACTAACTATGCAATATTACAAACTAACTTTAACGATAGTAGGGTCTGTTCTGGCTTTATTTTCATAATTTGTTTCCCTCCAGGATATAATTTTTGTGTGTGTGTGGAGCGAATTGAGAAACTGCAAGTCACTTCTGGTGTGAGAGAATTGGCCATCTGCAAGGACATTGCCCAGGGGATGCCCAGATGTTTTGATGTTTTACCATCCTTGTGGGAGGCTTCTCTCATGTCCCTGCATGGGGAGCCAGAGCTAACAGAGGGAGCTCATCCACACTCTCCCCGGATTCCAACCTGCTGGCACAAGAGTTTAACCCGTTGTGCATATGTTTTATAACGTCTTGAGCCTTTAGTGCCAAAGAGTGATTGTGCCTCATCAAACGACTTCCCAGGTTCAATAGCATTGCGCCATAACAGTCCAAGCAGTGTCAGACTGCATTAATGCCACAAAGTCGATGCATCCTTGGCTCATATGAAACCTATACCTTAAGGCCCAGAGCAGTGATTCCCAGCCTGTAGTCCATGGACCACCAGTGGTCCCTAGAACTAAAATATGATCCGTGGCCTCACTGTTACTACACCATTGCAACAAGAGCGACTAGTTTAATGAAACCCTCTTATAGTGCCAAGGCAATAGGGATGTCAGGAGGGAAGAGGCTAACTACCCATGAAAGACATGACAACAAGTCTCCTGACTGCTGCTTCTCCTCTTTCTCCCTCCCCTTGAGCGGAGCTGTTCTATGTGGTGCCTGGAAGTGAGGGTGCCTTGGTGTCTTTGTTTTTAGGCCTGTTCCTGGGTTTTTTGGGGGTGCTGATTCAGAAAATTGTGTTGGATACACCACATCCCGAATAGACTACTGCAACACTCTCTACATGGGGCTGCCTTTGAAAACTTCTCGGAAGCTCCAATTAGTCCAGCGGTCGGTGGCCAGGTTGTTAACTGGAGCTGCGTACAGGGAGCATACCACTCCTCTGTTGCGCCAGCTCCAAAGGCTGCCGATTAGCTTCCGGGCACAATTCAAAGTTCTGGTTTTAACCTTTAAAGTCCTGAACGGTTCTGGCCCAGATTACCTGTCCAAACGTATCACCTGCTATGAATCATGACAAAGCTTAAGATCATCAGGAGAGGCCCTGCTCTCGATCCCACAACTTTCACAAACACGGTTGGTGTGGATGAGAGACAGGGCCTTCTCGGCAGTGGCCCCCCGTCTGTGGAACTCTCCCCCTAAGGATATCAGGTTGGCCACCTCCCTCCTGTCCTTTAGAAGACAACTGAAGACCTGGCTCTGGGGCAGGCGTTCGATTAGAGGCCAGCAGCAATAGGAAAAGGAAATTTGGATTTTGCGACATGGATTCTCCCGGCTCGGTTTTTACTGGCACGTTAATCTATTAATTTATTGTTAAATTTTACTGATGATGTACAATGTTTTAAAATGTTTTTATTGTGAATTGTAATTTTTATGGTATTTATGCTGTTAGCATCCTCTGATGCTCATGTGAAGCCGCGCTGAGTCCCCTTTGAGGGGAGAAGGGCGGGATATAAATATATGAAATAGATAGATAGATAGATAGATAGATAGATAGATAGATAGATAGATAGATAGATAGATAAAACATCAGCTCTATATTATTAAATATGGTTTCCTGTGGGCGAGCAGATGGTGACTACTGGATGGCATATGTTCTGTATCAGAAATTAGTGCTGATGTGGTCTATCCAATGCAATTTTCCCAATCAGCACACCAAATAACCAAACCGAATCTAAAGTTGACCAAAAACTGATTCACAATCGTTTTTGTACTAATGTTGGAGAGTGGTCCCTGGTCAAAGTGGTCCCTGGTCAAAAAAGGTTGGGAAACCCTGTCTTAGAGCCTTGAATTGGATTTTATAGCCATTAAATTGATTTCTCTCTCTTCCCATTTTCCTCCCCATAGGATTACGAAGCTTTCTTCGAAGCAAGAGAGAATAACGCCGTATATGCTTTCCTAGGTTTGACTGCCCCACCGGGTTCCAAGGTATGTATCGCTGGAATTTCATGTTAACTTCTGCTAGTTTTGTTTGCATTCTTATTTTTAAAATAAATAATCAGGGCCAATGGTGTTTCATTGGGATAGGAATTGTTTTTAACAGTTTTTGCCTTGTTTTGGTATTGGTTTTAATCATTGTGATATTTAATTCTATTACAATATGTGTATTTCATTGGTTTTTACATTGCATAGTTTTTTTGAGTGAGCTACTTTGGGTCCCAGTCTTGGGTGAAAAGTGGATACAAATACCACTATTATTCCTCCTATTCTAGTTATTTGTTATGTATATAATTCAGATTGCTTACTATATTGTATATATTCCACACCTGGAATATTGTGTCCAATTCTGGGCACCACAATTGAAGAGAGATATTGACAAGCTTGAATGTGTCCAGAGGAGGGCGACTAAAATGATCAAGGGTCTGGAGAACAAGCTCTATGAGGAGCGGCTTAAGGAGCTGGGCATGTTTAGCCTGAAGAAGAGAAGGCTGAGAGGAGATATGATAGCCATGTATAAATATGTGAGAGGAAGCCACAGGGAGGAGGGAGCAAGCTTGTTTTCTGCTTCCCTGGAGACTAGGACGCAATGGAACAATGGATTCAAACTACAAGAAAGGAGATTCTATCTAAATATGAGGAGGAACTTCCTGACTGTGAGAGCCATTCAGCAGTGGAGTGTGCCTCAGAGTGTGGTGGAGGCTACTTCTTTGGAAGCTTTTAAATAAGGCTGGATAGCCATCTGTCAGGGGTGCTTTGAATACAATATTCCTGCTTCTTGGCAGAATGGGGTTGGACTGGATGGCCCATGAGGTCTCTTCCAACTCTATGATTCTATGATTCTATATGTGTGTATTATTATTATGATTCTATATATGTGAATTGGCATAATCTTTGTTCCTAACAGTTCAAAGAGATAACCAGGTATATCAGTCTAACAACTCATCTATCTACCGTATATACTCGAGTATAAGCCGACCTGAATATAAGCCGAGGCACCTAATTTTACCACAAAAAACTGGGAAAATGGATTGATTCGAGTATAAGCTGAGGGGTGGGAAATGCAGCAGCTACTGGTCAGTTTCAAAATATAAATAGATACCAATACAATTACATTAGGTTAAATGTTTTTGTGCCATAGGTTCGCCATCATGGTTCTAGAGGCATTCTCTCCTGACGTTTCGCCTGCATCTATGGCAAGCATCCTCATTGAGGATGCTTGCCATAGATGCAGGCGAAACGTCAGGAGAGAATGCCTCTAGAACATGGCCATATAGCCAAAAAAAACCTACAACAACCCAGTGATTCCAGTCATGAAAGCCTTTGACATCAAGGTTAAATGTTTTTTGAATATTTATATAAACTGTAATTTAAGATAAGACTGTCCAACTCTGATTAAACCATTATTCTAACCTTTTTCAATGGAAATGTGCTTATGTATCCTTCCAATAACAATAAAGAGAGTGAAATAATAAATGTAATAGCAACAGTAATAACTGTAAAATAATAAATGTAATAATAAGAATAATAAAGTAAAATAATAAATGTAATAATAATAAGAGTAAAATGATAAATGTAATAATAACAACAACAACAACAACAACAGAATTCAATAATAAATAATCTTGACTCAAGTATAAGCCGAGAGGGACTTTTTCAGCCTAAAAAAAGGGCTTATACTCGAGTATATACAGCAATTTGCCTTGCATGAATACTAGTGGATATTTATTACTAAAGAGAAGATTCATTTCCATGAGTTCTTAGCTCTTCTCAGGAAGATCATACTTTACAAATGGTTATGATCATTCCAAATGGTGCGAATGCCAATTAATCTCCAAAAGGCTCTGGAGATTCTGGTGATGATCTCAAAGGTCATCCTTTTCCAAAAGTTTTCCGCAAAATGCTGCTGTTTGTCATTTTCATTGGGTAGCACAGCACCTTCCAGAATTTATTGGAGCTAAACTGAGTTTAGTGGAGATTATGCCGCACACAAAACATGCCTTTATTATTTGCCGAAGTTCCAGCACAATTTCCCCTTTCTTTTCCAGCTCAAGCCATTATAAAAATAAAAGCACGTGTCTATGTTGTTGATGCTTCGCTTCCTGAAAATGCCCTAATATTTGTTCTTGTTCTTCCAGGAGGCAGAAGCCCTGGCCAAGCAAGAAGCCTGAGTGGCCTTCCATTCCTAAAGCCTTAAGTATTCTCCAAAGGGAAATATCTTCAGCTTTTGATACAATAGCAACCTTGTCTACGCTTCGAGAGAGAGAGAAAAAGATGTTGTTGTTTCTGATTGCTCTGCACAGCTCTGAATACAAGATGATGGAGCGCCAAGCAAAACATGCCATTGAAAACAGCAAATGTCATTAAATGGATTCCGAAATGGTTGACATTTCCATGTCTCCCCGGCGTCCCCGCCCACCAAACCATGTAAAAATCAGCTTTTTTACTATCCATAATGCAGATGCCTTGTTATATCCAGTAATCCAGGAATTAAAACAAAGTGGAAACAACAGTACAAACAAATCTGAACTTTTCAAAAAACAAGCCCCAGTGCCTAAGCTGTTCCAAAAACATTGTTGAAAACATAAAATGCTATAAAGTTGATCTTTTTTAAACAAACTTTTCTATTTTGTTGTTGTTAAGCTAGAATGTAGCATGGTGATAGTTGCAAGCGCTTGCAGGGTCTTAGGGTATATTTACACTTGCAAAGTATAGGTACTAAAAGTGTATTTTTCTTTTTGGTCATAATGGAATATCTTTTTTGAAAGTGAGATTCTCATTGGAGTGAATTCCTGCAGAAGAGGCAGGTTTAATCATGGCACAATGCCACTGCCTTTTGGGGACCTAAATGCAGCCAGATATAGGAGGGTTTGTTTTTCAAATAAGCCATAAACAAAATCAAGCCAGGCATGGCTCTTGCTTCTGCAAAATTGGAAAACTTTTGTGTCTCTTTGTGCAGAAGTTCCATTCTTGTCTCTGGGTGTTTCAGACTTTGGAAAGCATGCTTTCGAGTCATTGCAAAAAGTATGGAAACATTGGAACTTGGAAATATTTGCTCCTGTCTAGGATGAAGTATTTGGAAAACAGGGATTATTTTGTGAGACGAGAACATCACAGAATCTCATACTTCATACATCAAGGGCTCTAGCTATAAAATACTTTTATTAATAGGTTGCCGTGAGTTTTCCGGGCTGTATGGCTATGTTCCAGAAGCATTCTCTCATGACGTTTTGCCCGCATATATGGCAGACATCCTCAGAGGTTGTGAAGTCTGAGGATGCCTGCTACAGACACAGGCAAAACATCAGGAGAGAATGCTTCTGGAACATAGCCATACAGCCCGGAAAACTCACAACAACACAGTGATTCCAGCCATGAAAGTCTTCGGCAACACAATGTCAATAATATCAGAAACTATAGGGTACATTTGGAGATGGATATAGGAGTTGGTCTGAAAGCCAGAATCCAGAGCCAGTATCTTAAAGTTCGTTTGATGCTCGTTCCCAAGTATTTTTGTACTTATAGCCAAAACTAATCTAGAACACACCAATTTGCAGGATTCCTTCCAGAACACAAAACATTCTGTGCTCCAAGCTTTTTCATAGGAAACCAGACCAATTCAATCTTCAGAAACTGGACTATTTTGAATTTTCTGGGCTGTCTGGCCATGTTCCAGAAGCATTCTCTCCTGACATTTCGCCTGCATCTGTGGCAGGCATCCTCAGAGGTTGTGAGACTTCTTGCCATAGATGCGGGCGAAATGACTGGAGAGAATGCTTCTGGAACATGGCCATGCAGCCTGGAAAACTCACAACAACCCAGTGATCCCAGCCATGAAAGCCTTCGACAATCTTCAGAAACACAGAGAAGGAGGGACACATTAGCAAACGACAAAACAGATTCCAAAGGTGAAGAAAATAAAAGATTGAAAGAGAGAATACTTTATGATAGCTTCCCACTGACCTCTATGGTTTTCCAAGAAATATTTCATGCATTTTCCATTTCCGAGGGATGTAATGGTTTGACTCCCTTATTTTACAAAACATTGTCCTTGGAGTTGGTCCCACCTTATACCTTTTGTGCAATTTGCATTGATGTGCCTTTTAAATTTCATGTGCATTTAGGAATGTTTCACAACGTTGATCCACACACTTGAGGGTTTTGATTGATCATCCTTCAGGGTGCTTTAGAAATGGCATGGAGAAGATAGTTACAAATAGAGCTATTCTAGGGCCCCTTCTACACTGCCATATAATCCAGATTATCAAAGCACATAATTCACATTATCTGAACTGGATTATCTGAGGGCCCTTCCAGAAGAGCCCTATATTCTGGGATCTGATCCCAGGTTTTCCATTTATCCCAGATCATCTGGCAGTGTGGACTCATATAATCCAGTTTAAAGCAGAGAGCTTGGGATCAGATCCTGGGATATAGGGCCTGTTTGGAAGGGCCCTTAGTCCACACTGCCATATAGTCCAGTTCAAAGCAGATAATCTGGATTTTATAGGGCAATGTAAAAAGGGCTGAGAATTGTGAATCAAGTTTAATCCTGGGAAAAACGGATTATCAAAAACATTGTTGTGAATCCAAAACTAGACCTTGCTCATTCCATTTTAAAGAATTGTTTAGACTTGTTTCACAATGTATTCATCGTTCTGTACAACTATCTGAACTCAAGCCTCTTTGCTGTTTTTATTCATTTGGGTTGAATTTTTGTAATCCTTTATTTGGGTTGTAGGTTTTTTCGGGCTGTACGGCCATGGTCTAGAGGCATTCTCTCCTGACGTTTCGCCTGCATCTATGGCAAGCATCCTAGGAGGTAGTAAGGTCGTCACTACCTCTGAGGATGCTTGCCATTGATGCAGGCAAAATGTCAGGAGAGAATGCCTCTAGAACATGGCCATATAGCCCAAAAAAACCTACAACAACCCAGTGATTCCAGCCATGAAAGCCTTCGACAATCCTTTATTTCATCCTCAGTGATAATTTGAGGTCCTGGATTGATGAACACGGCGACAAAGTGTTTTTTGGCTAATTCAATTTCTCAAATAATTCAAATGATGATTAATGATTCCACTTTAAGGTTGTTTCCATGTGTGTCCTTTCTGTTAAATTATTCCTGTTATGGGTAATTGATACACTGCAACAAATTGCAATTTCCAAAAACCGCAGTTTACAAGCTGCACATTGACCTCCTTGTGTCTACTCTGCTGCTTCGTGTTAGATCCGCGTGCATTTCCTAATAAAAGTTTCTACTCATCCTTGTGCATTATTTGGCATTTCCAGGTCCAGTTGATGTGATGCAACATTCAAGAAAAAGTAAGATAAGGATTGTATGAGTTTCTGAAAAAATCCAGTATGAGCTTGATTTTGATATGTGGGTGCAATAATTCCCTTCTTAAACAGTTTGTTCCAACCCCAAATGGGGTCCCTATAGCTCATTATCGGCATCGTGAAAAATTTGGAAATAGTGAAGGTTTTCTGGACATCACTTAGGACCATTCTACAACGCCATATAATCCTGAATATCAAGTCAGATAATCCAGATTATCTGCTTTGAACTGGATCATCTACTATTTTCATCACATTCAGTAGGAGCCCCCGGTGGCGCAGTGGGTTAAACCCATGTGCTGGCAGGACTGAAGACTGACAGGTCACATGTTCGAATACAGGGAGAGCACAGATGAGCTCCCTCTATCAGCTCCAACTCCCCATGCGGGGACATGAGAGAAGCCTCCCACAAGGATGGTAAAATACCCAAAAACATCCTGGCATCCCCTGGGCAATGTCCTTGCAGATGGCCAATTCTCTCACACCAGAAGCGACTTGCAGTTTCTCAAGCCGCTCCTGACATGACAAAAAAAAATCACATTCAATTTAATGTTGGCTCCAACACTTCCATGTGTGTCTTAAGCAAGGTTCTAGTCCCCATTCAGCCATGGAAATCCAATAGGTCACTTTGGACAAGTCACACTCTCTCAGCCTCAGAAGAAGGAGATGACAAATCCTCTGTGGAAATATTGTCCAGAAAACTGCATCACAGTTTCGTCTTAAGGTTGTTGTAAATTGGATACGACTAGAACACATAAAACAACAACAGCAACAAGACTACTCTGTCTTTGTATTTCACAATAACTTGAAAATTTTCCCATGTACATAACTGATAAGTTTTATCCAAGTCAGGAAAACGTCAATAATTTAGTATCATTTGAAATTGGATTGTCAGATTGTATTCCTTGCTGCGTGGTCTCTTGTTGCAATTTTCAGGAACTTTGGGACTTCTTCATTCTCAATGGCTTCAAAGAGCATCTCAAAGTCCTACAACAGACAGATGCAAACATCACATTAAAGCAGTATTTCTCAACCTTCCTAATGCTGCAACCCCTTAATACAGATCCTCATGTTGTGGTGACCCCAAAACATAACATTATTTTTGTTGCTACTTTGTAACTGTCATTATGTTACTGTTATGAATCGTAATGTAAAGATCTGATATGCAGGATGTATTTTCATTCACTGGACCCAATATGCCCAAATTTGAATATTGGTGGGGTTGGGGGGAGGATTGATTTTGTCATTTGGAAGTTGTAGTTGCTGGGATTTATAGTTCACCTACAAAGAGCATTCTGAACTCCCCCAATGATGGAATTGAACCAAACTTGGTATACAGAACTCCCATGCCCAAGATAAAATACTGGAACGGTTTGGTGGGTATTGACCTTGAGTTTTGGAGTCGTAGTTCACTTACATCCAGAGAACACTGTGGACTCAAACAATGATGGATCTGGACCAAACTAGGCACAGATAATATGCCCAAATGTGAACACTGGTGGAATTTGGGGGAAAATAGACTTTGACATTTGGGAGTTATGGTTGGTGGGATTTATAGTTCACCTACAATCAAAGAGCATTCTGAACCCTGCCAAGATTAGAATTGGGCCAAACTTCCTACAAAGAACCCCCATGACCAACAGAAAATAGTGTATTTTCTGATGGTCTTTGGCGACCCCTTTGACATCCCCTTATGACCCCCCCCCAGGGGTCATAAAGCCCTTCTACACTGTCATATAAAATCCATATTATTTGCTTTGAACTGGATTATATGGCCGTGTACTCAGATGATCCAGTTCAAAGCAGATAATGTAGTTTATTGGTTTTGATAATCTGGATTATATGGCAGTGCAGAAGAGGCCTTAGTGTAAGAGGCAATGTTTATTACTGAAAAAACATTTCCCCTTTATTTCTTTCTGTCTGCACACATATAAGACTCCTTTCAAGGTCAACACTGCCATGGCAACTCTCAATATCTAAAGCTATAATTCCTAATCCTATTGCAAATCATAAGGTAAAAAGGTGAATCACACCTGCATTTAAATATATATTATAGCAGGAGCCCAAACTGTACCAGCTGAAGGAAATGGGAGCAACAGAACTTAAAAATATATTAAATAATTTTTGTTTGAATCATAAAATTGAAAAAGACCCCCAAAGCCATCTAGTCCTATCCCAATCTGCCAGGCAGGAAAGGCACAATCAAAGCACCCCCAAGAGATGGCCATCCAGCTTCTGTTTAAAAGCCTCCAAAGAAGGAACTTCCACCAGATTCCGAGGCAGAGATCCACTGGTGAACTGTTTGGAATGAAACAGGACCCTCATTTGGAAATCTTTAACAGTTTCAGGAACACAGCAACTGTAATCTTTCTGATTTCAAAGATACATTCCATTCATTTCAAGGCATGATACTTGGCATTTAGAGGGCATCACCAAAGATCATCTAAGCCTGCCTTCTCTTACCCCGCAGTAGTCCTCTCCATTAAATATCTGAGGAGGGATTGCATCTGGTTTGCCAGCCTTGCTTCTCATCTCCTGGAGCAAACCTTCATTCAGGGACACATCCACTAACTGGTACGTCATGTGTCTTCCATCCAAGACGCGAAGGACTTCCGACTGCTGCCGTCTCACCTAGATAAATGCAAATACAGGCAGTCCCTGAGTTACAAACATCCAACTTGCACATGACTTCCAGTTACGAAAGGGGCGGAGGCAACAGGAAGTGAGAGAAATCTTCCCCTCAAAAGGGAAATTCATTCCTGAAAGAGTTATTATCATGGGAAAAAGGGCTAAACATTCCCAACTCTTTAAGCCACTCCTCACAGGGCTTGTTCTTCAGACCCTTGATTAGGTTCTTGTGGTAGTGAGGATGCAGGCGAAACGTCAGGAGAAATGCCTCTAGAACATGGCCCTATAGCCCGAAAAAACCCACAAGAACCTAGTGATTCCAGCCATGAAAGACTTTGACAATACATTGAAGACCCTTGATTATTTGAGTAGTCCTCCTCTCGACACATTCCAGCTTGTCAACATCTCCCTTCAATTGTGGTGCCCAGAATTGGACCCCAGGTCTCAGCGGTGGCCGGGAGAGCTTTTGCACAGTTAAAACTCGTGCTCCAGCTGTGTCTGTACTTTGGGAAGTCAGATCTGGCTATGATGGTCCACACTCTTGTCACATTCTGAATAGATTACTGCAACGCGCTCTACGTGGGGTTGCCTTTGAAGATTGTTCGGAAACTGCAATTAGTCCAACGAGCGGCAGCTAGATTACTAACAGGAGCTATATACAGGGAGCATACCACCCCCCTGTTACGTCAGCTCCACTGGCTGCCTGTCCATTTCCGAGCTCAATTCAAAGTGCTGGTTTTGACCTATAAAGTTCTATACGGCTCTGGTCCAGCGTACCTGTCCAAACGTATCTCCTTCTACGTCCCACCTCGGAGCTTAAGATCGTCTGGGGAGGCCCTGCTCTCGGCCCTGCCTTTGTCTCAAACACGCTTGGCGGGGACGAGGGACAGGGCCTTCTCGGTGGTGGCCCCCCGCCTGTGGAATTTGCTCCCCGGGGAAATTACCCTCCTCACCTTTAGAAAAAAGGTTAAAACGTGGCTGTGGGACCAGGCCTTCGGGCAATCAGGTTAAAGGACAATTGATAATGTTTGACTATGGCATGGAAGAGGATTTGGATAAGTTAAGCGGAGTAATCATTAGTAGATGGCTAGCTAAACAGCCACCAGACGGGCAATAGCTAATCAGAGTGTAAGTATACTGTTTTAATCTTTATTTATTAATGTTCATGTATAATTGTTATGGTTGTTGTAGGTTTTTCGGGCTATATGGCCATGTTCTGGAGGCAATTTTTCTCCTGACGTTTCGCCTGCATCTATGGCAAGCATCCTCAGAGGTAATGAGGTCTGTTGGAACTAGGAAAATGGGTTTATATATCTGTGGAATGACCAGGGTGGGACAAAGGACTTTTGTTTGCTGGAGCTAGGTGTGAATGTTTCAGCTGACCACCTTGATTAGCATTTAATGGCTTGGAAGTGCCTGGGGGGATTCTTTTGATTCCCCTCTGTTTTGCTGTTGTTTCTCTCTGTTGTTTTGCTGTTGTAATTTTAGAGTTTTTTTGTTCATTTTCATGGTCTCTTCCTTTCTGTTGAAATTGTCCACATGCTTGTGGATTTCCATGGCTTCTCTGTGTAGTCTAACCCATTTTCCTATTTCCAACAGACCTCACTAACTCTGAGGATGCTTGCCATAGATGCAGGCGAAACGTCAGGAGAAAAATTGCCTCCAGAACATGGCCATATAGCCCGGAAAAACTTACAACAACCCATGGATTCTGGCCATGAAAGCCTTCGACAATACATATAATTGTTATATTTGTTCTTCTGTATTTTATGATGCGGTATTTAATTATTGCCAATTGTAAGCCGCCCTGAGTCCCCCCAGGGGTTGAGAAGGGCGGGGTAAAAATGTTCGAAATAAAATGAAATAAAATAAACTATGCTAGCATTGGCTTGTGCATCAGACAAAGAAAGACTGAGCATCCTTGACCCTCCAAAATCCAAACAATGTCCAGATGAGTGGCTGAGAGAGTGTGTCTATATTATAAACCTGCACCTTCCTTCACCTGTCTAGACCCTGTAACGCTGGAATAATAGACCCGGATGGAGTCCATCCTACACTCCAATAACTCTTCTGCCTGAGTTGGTCACTCCTCAGTTGCCATGACAACTCAACAGCTCCAACCCCTGGATTCCACTCTGCCCACTGGTCATTTAAACTGCATCGCTGCTCAGATTGGCCCACGAGGACTGTCAATCAAACTTACTACGCCTCCTGCCTTTTCTTCCAGTCTTTGCTCTCCAGCACCCCCTGCAGGCGGGCAAGGAATGGAGCAAGCCCAGGATCTGATCCCAGATTATCTCTTTATCTCAGACTAGCCATCCCCTAGCACAGTGGTTCTCAACCTGGGGGTCGGGACCCCTGGGGGGGGGGTCACGAGGGGGTTTCAGAGGGGTCACCAAAGACCATCCAAAAACATAGTATTTTCTGTTGGTCATAGGGGTTCCATGTGGGAAGTTTGGCCCAATTCTATCATTGGTGGGGATCAGAATGATCTTTTATTGTAGGTGAACTATAAATCCCAGCAACTAAAACTCTCAAATGCCAAGGTCTATTTTCCCCAAACTCCACCAGTGTTCATTCACATTGGGCATGTTGAGTATTCATGGCAAGTTTGGTCCAGATCCATCATTGTGTGAGTCCATAGTGCTCTCTGGATGTAGGTGAACTAAAACTCCAAACCTCAAGGTCAATGCCCACCAAACCCTTCCAGTATTTTCTGTTGGTCAAGGGAGTTCTGTGTGGCAAGATTGGTTCAATTACATTGTTGGAGTTCATAATGCTCTTTGATTGTGAGCTAAACTATAAATCCCACCAACTACAACTCCCAAATGACAACATCAATCCCCTGCCAACCCCACCAGTATTCACGTATTGGTGCCAAATTTGGTCCAGTGAATGAAAATACATCCTGCATATCAGATATTTATATTATGATTCATAACAGTAGCAAAATATAGTTGTGAAGTAGCAACAAAAGTAATATTATGGTTAGGGGTCACCACAATATGAGGAAATGTATTAAGGGGTCACAGCATTAGAAAGGTTGAGAACTACTGCCCTAGCACATGTTGCTGTGGCCCAGTCTGTGTATATGTGTTTTGTGTGTGTATATGTCGCGTGAATATAGAGTTGGAAGAGACCTCATGGGCCATCCAGTCCAACCCCCTGCCAAGAAGCAGGAATATTGCATTCAAATTACCCCTGACAGATGGCCATCCAGCCCCTGTTTAAAGCTTCCAAAGAAGGAGCCTCCACCACACTCCGGGGCAGAGAGTTCCACTGCTGAACGGCTCTCACAGTCAGGAAGTTCTTCCTCATGTTCAGATGGAATCTCCTCTCTTGTAGTTTGAAGCCATTGTTCCGCGTCCTAGTCTCCAGGGAAGCAGAAAACAAGCTTGCTCCCTCCTCCCTGTGGCTTCCTCTCACATATTTATACATGGTTATCATATCCCCTCTCAGCCTTCTCTTCTTCAGGCTAAACATGCCCAGCTCCTTAAGCCGCTCCTCATAGGGCTTGTTCTCCAGACCCTTGATCATTTTAGTCGCCCTCCTCTGGACACATTCCAGCTTGTCAATATCTCTCTTCAATTGTGGTGCCCAGAATTGGACACAATATTCCAGGTGTGGAATATATACAATATAGTAAGCAATCTGAATTATATACATAACAAATAACTAGAATAGGAGGAATAATAGTGGTATTTGTATCCACTTTTCACCCAAGACTGGGACCCAAAGTGGCTCACTCAAAAAACTATGCAATGTAAAAACCAATGAAATACACATATTGTAATAGAATTAAATATCACAAATTATTAAAAGCAGTACCAAAATAAGGCAAAAACTGTTTAAAACAACTCCTATCCCAATGAAACACCATTGGCTCTGATTATTTATTTAAAAAATAAGAATGCAAACTAGCAGAAGTTAACATGATATTCCAGCAATATGGGTTTTGCGCATGCATTGTAATGCATTTTTATTTTTTGGCTTTTTAAGTTTCTTCCGCTGTGTTTTTCAGTGTTTTTATGAGTGATGGTCACTTGTTGGCCTAATAGGTGTAATGTGTCCAAATTTGGTGTCAATGTTAATCCCACAAATGGAGCCCCCGGTGGCACAGTGGGTTAAACCCCTGTGCCAGCAGGACTGAAAGCCGACAGGTCGCAGGTTCGAATCTGGGGAGAGGCGGATGAGCTCCCTCTATCAGCTCCAGCTCCTCATGCGGGGACATGAGAGAAGCCTCCCACAAGGATGATAAAAACATCAAATCATCGAGGCGTCCCCTGGGCAACGTCCTTGCAGACGGCCAATTCTCTCACACCAGAAGCGACTTGCAGTTTCTCAAGTCACTCCTGACACGACAAAAAAAAAAATCCACAAAAGAACATTACATTTTATTTATATAGACTAGCCATCCCCTGCCACGCGTTGCTGTGGCCCAATCTGTGTATATGGGTTTTTGTGTGTGTATATGTTTGTGTATATATGTATGTCTGTGTATATATGTGGTTTTGCGCATGTGTTATATTGCATTTGTTTTCTTTTTTGGCTTTTTAAAGTCTCTTCCACTGTGTTTTTCAGTGTTTTTATGAGTGATGGTCACTCATTGACCTAATATGTGTATTGTGTCCAACTTTGGTGGTAATTCGTCCAGTGGTTTTCGAGTTATGTTAATCCCACAAACGAACATTACATTTTTATTTATATAGCTTATCTGGCAGTGTAGACTCATATAATCCAGTTCAAAGCAGATAAGCAAAGGACTCTCAAAACTACAGCTCCTGGGGTTGCATAGCACTTATTGACTCAGTGTCATGGAATCATAGGAGTTGTAGTTTTGCAGAGTCCTTAGCTTTTGGTGCCGCACTAAACTGCAAACCCTAGGATTCCATTGCATTGAGCCATGGCAGTTAAAGTGATGCCAAAGCACACTGGTTCTACAGTATGGATGCATCCTAATTGTCAATAAATGCTCTTCCGCTGTCATATCGCACCATGATATTATGCTGCCTGAAGTGGGACTAGCAAATGGCTCCCCTTCCTCCAAATCAGTCCCATTATCCCTTCTGCTAGTCTTCTTGGTGGAAATGCAAGAAGGATGAATAACCGACACTGGGCTGCCTGAGGCGGTTGCCTCACTCTGGCTACCAGAGGAGAGAGAAGGGCATCCGTTTGGTAATAACGTTGGTCATTTGGTAATAGCTCTGTAATAACTGAGTCACTGTGTGTCGTCAAGATTGGGACATGTGTTTTGTTGCAGGAAACCGCTGATAAATAACTCAGGAAAGTCAGCAAATGGTGAGGAAAGTGGGCCCAGCTGGGAGGGGAGGGCAAGCTATAGCCATGATTTATCAAGAGAGGGATAAAGACTGGACTGTGTAGATATAAAAGTCAAAATATGTCTGCCTGCATTGCCTGTATTTTTTTCCTTTTGTGCCACAAAGGTGGCTGCTAGGTGAAGTGGCCTTCTTGTAATGTAACAGGATTGGCTGTTGCTAGGTGAAGTGACCCTAGATTGCTAATTGAAGCAGCCCTCTTGCGATGTAACTGGGTTGGCTGTTGCTAGGTGATGTGACCCTCTTGTGATGTAACTGGGTTGGCTGCTTCTGGATGAAGTGGCCCTCTTGCGAGTGACATAGGGTTGGCTGCTAGGTGAAGTGGCCATCCTGCAATGTAACAGGATTGGCTGTTGCTAGGTGAAGTGACCCTAGATTGCTAATTGAAGCAGCCCTCTTGCGATGTAACTGGGTTGGCTGTTGCTAGGTGATGTGACCCTCTTGTGATGTAACTGGGTTGGCTGCTTCTGGATGAAGTGGCCCTCTTGCGAGTGACATAGGGTTGGCTGCTAGGTGAAGTGGCCATCCTGCAATGTAACAGGATTGGCTGTTGCTAGGTGAAGTGACCCTAGATTGCTAATTGAAGCAGCCCTCTTGCGATGTAACTGGGTTGGCTGTTGCTAGGTGATGTGACCCTCTTGTGATGTAACTGGGTTGGCTGCTTCTGGATGAAGTGGCCCTCTTGCGAGTGACATAGGGTTGGCTGCTAGGTGAAGTGGCCATCCTGCAATGTAACAGGATTGGCTGTTGCTAGGTGAAGTGACCCTAGATTGCTAATTGAAGCAGCCCTCTTGCGATGTAACTGGGTTGGCTGTTGCTAGGTGATGTGACCCTCTTGTGATGTAACTGGGTTGGCTGCTTCTGGATGAAGTGGCCCTCTTGCGAGTGACATAGGGTTGGCTGCTAGGTGAAGTGGCCATCCTGCAATGTAACAGGATTGGCTGTTGCTAGGTGAAGTGACCCTAGATTGCTAATTGAAGCAGCCCTCTTGCGATGTAACTGGGTTGGCTGTTGCTAGGTGATGTGACCCTCTTGTGATGTAACTGGGTTGGCTGCTTCTGGATGAAGTGGCCCTCTTGCGAGTGACATAGGGTTGGCTGCTAGGTGAAGTGGCCATCCTGCAATGTAACAGGATTGGCTGTTGCTAGGTGAAGTGACCCTAGATTGCTAATTGAAGCAGCCCTCTTGCGATGTAACTGGGTTGGCTGATGCTAGGTGAAGTGGCCCTCTTGTGATGTAACTAGGTTGGCTGTTTCTGGGTGAAGTGGCCCTCTTGTGCATGACACTGGGTTGGTTGCTAGGTGAAGTTGCTATCTTGTGATGTGACTGAGTTGGCTGTTTCAGGGTGAAGTGGCCTTCTTGCGAGTGACTCTTGGTCGGCTGCTAGGTGAAGTGGCCATCCTGCAGTGTAATGGGATTGGCTGTCGCTAGGTGAAGCGACCCTCTTGTGAGTGACACCATGTTGACTCCTAGGTGAAGTGACCGTCTTGTGATGTAACTGGGTTGGCTGATGCTAGGTGAAGTGGCTCTCTTGTGATGTAACTAGGTTGGCTGTTTCTAGGTGAAGTGGCTTCTTGTGCATGACACTGGGTTGGCTGCTAGGTGAAGTGACCATCCTGCGATGTAACTGGATTAGCTGTTGCTAGGTGAAATGACCCTCTTGTGATGTAACTGGATTGTCTGAAGTGTCCCTCTTGCGATCGGCACTGTTGTCAGGTGAAGTGGTCCTCTTGTCATTGTCACTGTGTTAGCTATTGCAAGGTGAAGTGGCCCTCTTGTGATTGGATTGGGTGTTGCTAGGTGAAATGAACCTCTGTAATGTCACTGAGAAAGAAGGTGCCATGCGTATGAACATAAATGAATGTCTTGTTCAGTTTTGGGTCCATCTCGAAGAGATCTCATTATGCAAATATTTCAAAGTTGCCTCCTCCCACACCAAAAAACCCACTTCAATCCAGAACACTTCTGGTCCCGAGCATTTTGGATAAGAGATGATGGGTACGTGTGTGCCACGCCTGGTCCAAATCCATCAAGCCATGGAGGAGTTTTTGTGGATCAAACAAACATACTTTTCAATATAGAGATGCATCCTTTTTACCTTGCGAACCACTTTTACAAGTATTGTTGAAGGCTTTCATGGCCGGAATCACTGGGTTGTTGTAGGTTTTTCCGGGCTATATGGCCATGTTCTGGAGGCAATTTTCTCCTGACGTTTCGCCTGCATCTATGGCAAGCATCCTCAGAGGTAGTGAGGTCTGTTGGAAGTAGGAAAATGGGTTTATATATCTGTGGAATGACCAGGGTGGGACAAAGGACTTTTGTCTGCTGGAGCTAGGTGTGAATGTTTCAACTGACCACCTTGATTAGCATTTAATGGCTTGGAAGTCCTGGGGGAATCTTTTGTTGAGAGTGATTTTATGTGCCTGTTGTGTATTATGTGCCTATGTGTATTTTATGTGCCTATGTGTATTAAAAAACTCAAAAATTACAACAGCAAAACAACAGAGGGGAAACAAACAGGCACATAAAATCACTCTCAACAAAAGATTCCCCCCAGGCACTTCCAAGCCATTGAATGCTAATCAAGGTGATCAGCTGAAACATTCACACCTAGCCCCAGCAGACAAAACTCCTTTGTCTCACCCTGGTCATTCCACAGATATATAAACCCATTTTTCCTACTTCCAACAGACCTCACTACCTCTGAGGATGCTTGCCATAGAGGCAGGCGAAACGTCAGGAGAAAAATTGCCTCCAGAACGTGGCCATATAGCCCGGAAAAACCTACAACCACCCACTTTTACAAGGTCATAAAAATACCCCATGTCCCCAACATCCTTGTTTTTAGTTGGCATTTTAAAACAACCCTGTTTTTCATCTCTTTCCGTCCTTCTTCTTTTCCATTTTAGTCTTCCCCCACCATTTCAAAAATTAGTCCTCAAAAGTACACATTGCCTAGCCATGATGCAAACTCATACTGCTGGAAGGGGGATACATCTTGAATGTTCTCCCTTTTTGTTATTTTTAATGGTATTTGTTCTGTTCACTGCCTTGATTCCTTTCCAAAGAACAAAGAAAGCCCATCAATTAAATAAGGAAAAGAAATCAATACAAATTAAATAGACCTTGCATTGAAAAGCTTACACCATACTTGTGGGGGTGGAGGTCTTCAACATGGTGCAAGATCGTAAAGTTTCTTTTCCTGAACCAGATTGGAAATAGCTACTTCTCTAAGAAACAGAAAATGCAATTGCTGAGGAATAAAAAAAATATGATGCATCTGAACTCATTGAATTTGGAAAAAGGAAGTGATTGCTGAGTCAAACTCCAAAGGTTCCCAGTCTTTGTGTATATTTTACGCGATGCACATTTCCCATAGGAAGGAGGGGGAAAAGAGACTTTTATATTATACTATAATATTATAATAATATTTTATAAAATAATATAGTGGCCCTATGAATGAGTTACTCCATTTATATTATTTGATATTATTTATAGATCTAACAATAGTGAAAATATGTATGTGAGTGTATGGCAATTTGGAGTGTCCACTTACACAGACAAGCTCTTGCCTCCACAAAGAGCTATTGCTCTCACCACTCAGGAGACACCAATGAGCCTCCCTCCAATGACATTGCAGGTTATAGTGAGTGCCATTAACATGTCCAAGAGCCCTGCCAATGTCCTCCACAAACACCATACTTCCCACCAGCCAAGTGAAGGTTTTCATATGGGGATAATTTCATCCTAGATTTTATGTGTTTCCTCCACCACAGACATCCGAGTATTTCTTTCTCTCTCCACTGGTGTGGTATTTGCAAGACCACACACACTGCCTCTCCCTTAACCCTTTCCTATCCTTTCCTATGGCGCAAGGCAAACAAAGCAGAATAACTGCAACTGAACATACTGGAGGGCTTTGGAGGCCTGATTCAACATGGAAGTTGTTGTTCACCCTGTATCAAGACAGAGCACTGCGACCTCCAACGACAATGGACCTGGACCACATTTGGCACACAGAACCTCCATGAACAATAATGGAGAGGTTTGGAGGAGAATTCATCTTGATTTATAGGAGGTACAGGTACTGGGATTTATAGTTCATCTGCAATCTAAGAGCACACTGAACCCCACCAACAATGGACCTGCAACTCACTTGCTACACAGAACCCTCGTGACCAACCAAAAATACTAGCGGTCTTTGGCTTTATAGATGTTGTAGTTCACCTCCAATCAAACTTGGCATACAGAACGCCCATGACCAACTGAACATATTGGAGGGGTTTGAAGGGAACCGACCTTCATTTCTGGGAGTTGTAGTTCTCCTACATCCAGAGACACCATGATCACCACTGACAATAGACAGGGACGATATCTGGTACACAGAACCCCCCCACGGCCAACTGAACCTACTGTAGGGGTATGAGGAGACTGACTCACCATGGTGGGAGTTGTAGTTTACCCTGCAGCCAGAATGCACACGGACCCCACCAATAATCCATCTAAGAGTCAATCCATACAGCCCTATATCCCAGAGTATCAAGGCAGAAAATCCCACAATATCTGCTTTGAACTGGGTTATCTGAGTCCACTCTCAGATAATGTAGGATTTTCTGCCTTCATATTCTGGGATATAGGGCTGTGTGGATGGGCCCTTAGATGGATTATTGGTGGGGTCCGTGTGCATCCTGGCTGCAGGGTAAACTACAACTCCCACCATGGTGAGTCAGTCTCCTCATACCCCTACAGTAGGTTCAGTTGGTCGCGGGGGTTCTGTGTACCAGATATGGTCCCTGTCTCTTGTAGTGGTGATCATGGTGTCTCTGGATGTAGGTGAACTACAACTCCCAGAAATGAAGGTCGGTTCCCTTCAAACCCCTCCAATATGTTCGGTTGGTCATGGGGGTTCTGTTTGTTCCACAATATCTGCTTGGAACTGGATTATCTGAGTCCACTCTTGGATAATGTGGGATTTTCTGCCTTGATATTCTGGAATATAAGGCTATGTGGAAGGGCCGTAGAGCAGACTTTCTCAACATGTCAAAGTACTGATGGATTTTCAGGGGGGTTAACCTGGTGTGATGTCAGCTGTAATTCACCCACAAACTTATGCATTTTTGTAAAAATAAAAATAAAAAGGACTTCTTCAAATAACTTGGACAATGCCAGGTACCCAAGATAGTAAAATAATATAAAACCCAGATCTTCCTTTCCAAGGCAGATTCCACATGTCTTTGACTATGTTGAAGGAGTCAATGGCAAAATATTTGTAGAGTAACAGTTTCTTAGCTTTTGCCCTATCAGAGTTTCACACTTGAAATTACATTGGATAAGGTTAGAGTCTGATGAAGCAGAAAACTAAGTGGAAAGGCAAAATAAATGATTTTTAAATGAGATAAGTGTAAGGTATGAAGGTAGAAGGCAGTAGGAAAAAAGAAGGTAGGTGGATGAACTCAATGAAGGAAACCATGGACCTGAGTTTGCAAGACCTGTGGAGGACTGTTGATGATAGCGGGACTTGGAGTCTCTCATTCATAGGTTTACCACAAGTAAAAGTTGACAACAAATTGGTCAGCAGGTCATTAAAAACATAGTTCTATTTATAATATGCTTCCCATATGTTGGAAACACAAGAAATATTATTTTTCTTGCAAACAAGGCAAATGAGATCACGATGTGCTCGGCAAGGGTTAGCAAGTGACTTTTAAGAAGGGCACAGCCAAGCCTTCTGCAGAAATTAGCTCTACATTTAAGCAGTACTTTTCATAGAAATAATCATTCTCTATGATGTGAATAATTCAGGTGGAAACATAAATACAGAGAACAGCTGAAATGGAAAGTTTGGATATGGTTCAATTGCGGTTTCAAATGCAAGGTCCATTTCTATCCTAGCTCTCCGTCTCCATTCTGTCCATGGGCTTTGGGGATTGCAGCCTCCCTTGATGGGAGTCCGGTTATCTGCAGAGCAGAACAGATTCGGACCTCTTTGCGTCAAAATGTACTCAGTTCACTTTCATTTGTGAGCAGTTCTTCCTCTTTTCAACATGGTTCCCCAAAGAGCCAGTCACTCAGCATTGAATTCATCTTATTGCACAACATTTCAAGAAACGTCAGAGATCCTCTTTTAGGTTTGCTATCACTGGAGGAGGGAACATCGTTTTTTCCATGGGTGGTGACTTTGGCAAGGAACTTATTAAAGCCAGGAGAGCAACATGGCAAGGCAGGCTAGGAATGCGCTCCAAAGGCCTTTGAAATTGAGCCAAGATGTACCCCTTGATTCTGTTTTGCTGGTGTTTCCATAGCTGATTTCATAGAGCCAGTAACGCTGGGCTTTTTGCAAAGGTACGTAATCTACTTTTTTCATCATCTGGTTTAAAACAGAATTAGGAACAAAAACCCTTTTGCTATGCTTGTGTTCATCCTCCTGTTAGTGATGTATCCAGACATCAGTTTACCTTACACAGTTTACCAGTTTACGTGGTTTACTTGTGTATGTTATTTTTAATAGTTGGGGGGTTTTTTTGTCGTGTTAGGAGTGACTTGAGAAACTGCAAGTCGCTTCTGGTGTGAGAGAATTGGCTATTTGCAAGGACATTGCCCAGGGGACGCCCAGATGTTTTGATGTTTTTACCATCCTTGTGGGAGGCTTCTCTCATGTCCCCACATTATTTATTTATGTATTTAGGGCTTTTATATCCCGTCCTTTCTCAACCTCAGGACTCAGGACGGCTGACAAAGTGGCACCCCATGGCGCCCATATCAAAACATAAATATACAATTAACAGCAATGTAATAATAACAACAATATAAAACAGTATATAATAATAATAATAATAATAATAATAATAATAATAATAATAATAATCCTTTATTTATACCCCACTACCATCTCCCGCAGGACTCGGTGCGGCTTACAAGAGGCCGAGCCCAAAATACATCAAAACACAAAACACAACCACAACAATACAATACAACAATAAATAACTCATAGCAAAGCAAAACAAGAACAAAATATCACGACGCAATTTAAAACCTGGCAGGGCCAAATGTAAAGATTATTTTTTTAAAAAAAAAATACTGGGTATGACCAGGTGAAAAAGGATGGATATTTTGGGGGGTAAGTGGGTGTGCAGACATTTCCAACTCTCTCGTAAAGTGCATTTGGGACATATTGCTTGGGATTCCTTAATCTGGGAAGGCACACTGGAACATCCATGTTTTCAAGCTCCTTCTGAAGACTGCCAATGTTGGGGCATGCCTGATGTCCTTGGGGAGGGAATTCCAGAGTCGTGGGGCCACCACTGAGAAGGCCCTGTCCCTCGTCCACACCAATTGCGCTTGTAATGCAGTATATACAGTATATAAACATCATGAGGAGCTGGAGCTGATCCACGCTCTCCCCAGATTCGAATCTGCTACCTGTTTTGCCGGCACAGGGGTTTAACCCACTGTACCACCGGGGACTCATGACAACTTCAATTGTTGTGAAGGCTGATATTTTCTTCCATCCTCATTTCACATGGCAATATCCCTGGATTCCTCATTTAGTAGGGTTACCAGAATGAAGACTGGAGTGCGCTCCTGTACCATTAATATAGTGCTTCTCAAACTGGCCTTCCAGGCATTTTGGACTTCAACTCCCAGCAGCCTCAGCTAGCTTGGCCATCAATTAGGGAGTCAAAAATATCTGGAGGATCAAAGTTTGGGAAGCACCACATTAAAGGCTGTAAAGAAGAAGGCATTTCAGCAGGTGTTGCTTGTTGCCATGTTGTCTGCAATTAGCTCTTCTAAACACAACAGGTACTGAGCCCTTCTCTAGTTTTTATCTGGCAACTCTTTTGGCCATTGCAGCCCCATGACATTCTATGGATGGTGGAGGGGATGAGGGCAGGAGACTCCTCTATCTATTTCCCTGTTCCTAGGTCCAGAATAATTATATCACCCACTGAGACCTCCAGACCCTGGCAGACTTTCGAGCATGATATAACCATTCTACTTCTACTCTGCGGGTTGCTGAGATTGCCAGTGTTGATCCACAAACACAGGACTATGAATATATTATTTAGACTGTCGAAGGCTATCACGGCTGGAATCACTGGGTTGTTGTGGGTTTTTCGGGCTGCATGGCCATGTTCTAGAACAGTGGTTCTCAACTCTCCTAATGCCATGACCCCTTAATACAGTTCCTCATGTTGTGGTGACCCCCAACCCTAACATTATTTTCATTGTTACTTCATAACTGTAATATTGCTACGGTTATGAATCGTAATGTAACTATCTGGTATGCAGGATGTATTTTCATTCACGGGACCAAATTTGGCACAAATACCCAATATGCCCAAATTTGAATACTGGTGGGGTTGGGGGAGACGGATTGGTTTTGTCATTTGACAGTTGTAGTTACTGGGATTTATAGTTCATCTACAATCAAAGTGCATTCTGAACTCCACCAATAATGGAACTGAACCAATCTTGGCACACAGAAATCCCATGACCAACAGAAAATATTGGAGGGGTTTGGTGGACATTGACCTTGAGTTTTGGAGTTGTAGTTCACTTACATCCAGAGAGCACTGTGGACTCAAACAATGATGGATCTGAACCAAACTAGGAACAAATACTCAATATGCCCAAATGTGAACACTGGCGGAGTTTGGGGAAAATAGACCTTGACCTTTGGGAGTTGTAGTTGCTGGGATTTATATTTCTTCTACAATCAAAGAGCATTCTGAACCCCACCAACAATAGAATTGGACCTAACTTTCCACACAGAATCCAGATGAACAACAGAAAATACTATGTTTTCTGATGGTCTTTGGTGACCCCTCTGACACCCTCTCATGACCCCTCCCCAGGGTTCCCGACCCCCAGGTTGAGAAACGCTGTTCTAGAAGCATTCTCTCCTGATGTTTTGCCTGCATCTATGGCAAGCATCCTTAGAGGTTGTGAGGTGGAACGTGGTCTTTGTATTTTTAGGTAAAGGTTTCTCCTTGACATTAAGTCTAGTTGTGTCTGTGGGGTGGTTCTCATTTCCATTTCTATGCTGAAGAGCCGGCATTGTCTGTAGATGCGTCCAAGGTCATGTGGCCGGCATGACTGCATCGAGCACTGTTAGCTCCCTGCCGGAGCAGTACCTATTGTTCTACTCTCATTTGCATGTATTTGAACTGCTAGATTGGCAGAAGCTGAGGCTAACAGCAGAAGTTCACCCTGCTCACCAGATTCGAACCACCAACCTTTCGATAAGCAAGATCAGCAGCTCAGAGGTTTAACCCACTGCACCACCATATGGGATTTTTGTACATTTACTCAAAATTAAATTAGAGGAAGAGACTGGCAAAACCATATCTCGGTATTCCTTACCTAAGAGAACTCTCTGAAATCCATGGGGCTACCATGATTTATTTCTGGAGGGGGTGGGTGGGGGTGTCTATTGTCTTCCTTTGAGGTAGAGTGAGTGAGTTGCCCAAGGCCATTTCGTGGGTTTCCATGGCTGAGAAGGGGTTCAAACCCAGGTCTCTCAGATTGCGAATCCAATGCTCAAACCACTGCACCACTCTGACTCTTAAATGTCTCTTACTTTAAGGGATATGGGAAGCTTTATCTTTAATATGGACTGATTAACATGACAAAATATCCATATTAGGGTGTGTGGGCTCGTCCTAAAGACAACAGTGTGTGAATTGTGTCATTTATAAATATGGGCACTCTGTTAATTGTACAAGGAAATGCATTGCCTGAGATCAATACTTTCCTTTGGTATTTTAGTAGAATACAAACTTGTGGATTGCCAACTTTGCATGACATGCATTTTGATAGTCATTTATTGCTATTTTGAAAAAGAATAGAGATGTAAATTGTTATGCTACTTGTTTAATATATGAGCAAGCCTTCATCCACCACAAGCCTTTCCCCCTTTTCAGTGTCTTCTTTTTCTTTCACAGAAGGAATCCCTTCTCCATCAGTTTGAGTTGTCTCCATTCCACGTTGAGATGCTGGCAGAAAGCTTTCTCACTGGCATCGCCTACACGGCTGAGTTGGCCAAACCTCGCCGATGTGTTGGACTGAAATCCGTGGAAGGAGAATGCTGGCATGAGAGGTTGGTGAGCAAAGATGACCACCAAGATTTCCATGCAGAGTCCAAGCAGATGGCTACGCAAAAGTTGGAGGCAAGACGTGAGATGGAGATGGATCAAAGCACTGCCTTGCAGAATTCGATTAGAAACCCACTGCTTATGAATGGATCTAACAACGTCCTTCTTTCAGCTCCACAGCCTATAGCAAGAAGAGAGCAACACTGTGAAAATGAGCTGGATTTGTATAGATCTTGGTCCAGCCAAAGCCTTTATCAGAACTACCCTGATCTCCATATTGGAGGGGACCACATTGCGGACCATACTTGCGATTCAGGTTGCATCCTGGACCAGGGTTACGATGAGCTCTCCCCTGGTCCTGTCCTGTTGTCTAAAGATATTCCAATAGGTCATTCCCTTGGAAATGAATCCCTGCAGAAACCCAGGGTGATAAAGTTCTGGCCTGGGGATGAGACTGGGGAGAAGAGCATGATGCCCCACAAGGAGCCCTTGTCCAACTCCATGCTCAACAACTACATGGAAACAAAAGTCCAGGAATTCTACAAGCAGTTTTGGGAAGAGAAGCTGACAGGCTGCAGTTCCCTCAACCACTTGACAACACCATATTTGCTGATGAATAACATGAGCGAGATGCCCACAGAGCCACACGCCGAAGCGTCCAACGCCCTGTTGCAATCCTTAGCTCTGTTTAGTTTGCAAAACCCCAGCAGTGGAAACAGCAACGAATTCAGCACGCCAAATTTGCAAATCTCCGCTCCACTTTGCAAAAAGAAATCCATGCCAATACAGTCTGGTTCGTGATGGAAAAAGAAGTGCTTCTTTAGAAAGGATGAATACTACTTTTAGTTACTGTATTGGTGCCACAAAACATTCGCCCCCAAGCCAATGACAGTTCAAACAACAGCATTGCTCTTCTAATACTGGGTTGCGAATGAACTGTTGCGCTGTGATTGTCACAAGACTGTTTTGCAATGAATGCAACCGTTAGACACTACTAGTGACTTCAAGCCAAAAGCATTGAACTTCTGCTAAGCATGTTAATTTCTGATTAAAGTTTTCTGCAAAAGTTTTAATTAAACATTCCCAGCTCATTAAAACAAACTGGGGGAGGCCTTTCACATTAAATCAGTGTTTCTCAACCTTCCTAATGTCGTGACCCCTTACTACAGTTCCTCATGTTGCGGTGACCCCCAACCATACAATTATTTTTGTAGCTACTTCATAATTGTAATTTTGCTACCGTTATCAATCATAATGCAAATATCTGATATGCAGGATGCATTTTAATTCACTGGACCAATTTTACCACAAAAACCTGATACACCCAAATTTAAATACTGGTGCCGTTGGGGGGTTTGATTTTGTCATTTGGGAGTTGTAGTTGATGGGATTTATAGTTCACCTACAATAAAAAAAACTCCACCAATGATGGAATTGAACCAAACCTTGCACACAGAACTCCCATGACCAACAGACAATACTGGAAGGGTTTGGTGAGCATTGACCTTGAGTTTTAGAGTTGTAGTTCACCTACATTCAGAGAGCACTGTGGACTGAAACAATGATGGATCTGGACCAAACTGGGCACGAATACTCAATATGCCCAAATTTGAATACTGGTGGAATTTGGGGAAAATAGACCTTGACATTTGGGAGTTGTAGTTGCTGGGATTTATAGTTCACCTACAATCAAAGAACTCCACCAACGATGGAATTGAACCAAATCTGGCACACAGAACTCCCATGACCAACAGAAAACACTGGAAGGGTTTGGTGGGCATTGACCTTGAGTTTTGGAGTTGTAGTTCACTGACATCCAGAGAGCACTGTGGACTGAAACAATGATGGATCTGAACCAAACTTGGCACGAATACCCAATATGTCCAAATGTGAACACTGGTGGAGTTTGGAGGAAATAGACCTTGACATTTCGGAGTTGTAGTTGCTGGGATTTTTAGTTCACTTACAATCAAAGAGCTTTCTAAACCCCACTAACAATAGAATTGGGCTAAACTTCCCACAGAGAACCCCCATGACCAACAGAAAATACCGTTTTTCGATGGTCTTTGGCGACCCCTCTGATACCCCCTTGCGACCCCTCCAGCGTTCCTGATCCCCAGGTTGAGAAACGCTGCATTAAATGATGTCAATTCGCCTTGGATGTATCCTATGGAGTTCTGGAATTTGAAGTTTATGCAGGGGTATCTAGACTTCTCAGTGCCTCACCAAACTACACATCCCAAGATCCCAGAAAATTTGCTTGAAATCATAATACTTTGATTGTTCAATGTGAAAGGACACGGGAGTGAAATTCTCCAAGCTGTAGCAGCCCAGGTACAAACTTTCTGTCCTTCAGGGTATTGGTTTTGCTTTAATATTATAATTTCTATAGCAATACACACCACGTGTTACAGATCTCATAAAGATGGGAGCTTTTTACTGTCGGGCTAAACCCCAAGAGAGAAAGCAACAAAAGAACAGGAGGGATATGAAGGCAAAGGTAAAGGAGAAGAAAATGTGTATTTGAACAACAGTTCCGTATATATAAATAGGGATTATAATGTGACAACTCCTTCATTTAAACTACTTCTGGGTGCAAAGGTTTTCAGAATTGTGTTGTCAAAGGCTTTCATGGCACCTCAAATATCCCCACCCCAACTATGGATCCATTGTGTTGCCGAAGGCTTTCATGGCCAGAAGCACTGGGTTGCTGTGAGTTTTCTGGGCTGTATGGCCATGTTCCCGAAGCATTCTCTCCTGACATTTTGCCCACATCTATGGCAGGCATCCTCAGAGGTTGTGAGGTCTGTTGGAAACTAGGCAAGTGAGATTTTCAGAACTAATTTCTGCATGCTTTCCCATATTGATGAAGAGCTTCACATTGCTTTAGTTTTGGAGTTCTGCAATGTGTGTATGTGGGGTTGAAATAGATAGCTGACTGTGTGATTGCAATGTAACAAAAGGCTTGGAATTCCTCTTTGCAAGATATTCGAAGAGATTGTTGTGAAACAATGGAGTTACTTAAAACCTTATGACAGTCATTGTCTGGTGAAAAAGATAGAGGAACAGAAACAAACCTGCAGGACTTCTCCTTTTCACTGATGACTTTGACATGTCAAATATGCCCCTGCCTTCTTCTAAGGGCCCTTCCATCCCAGGATTATTTGTCAGTGTGAACTCATATAATCCAGTTTAAAGCGGAAAACCTGGGATCAGATCCTGAGATATAGGGCCTGTCTGGAAGGGTCTTGAAAGGCAAACATTTCTCTCTGCACATTGAAAGAACTGCTCCTTGGATTGGGAAGCCAAATATGGATCCACAGGGTTGCTGTGAGTCTTCCAAGCTGTCTGGCCATGTTCCAGAAGCATTTTCTCCTAATGTTTCACCCACATCCACAAGCATTTCCACAATTTCAACAAAAAGGAGGAAACCATAAAAAGTAACAAAATCTGGCTGCTAGTATTTAAAAACTCTAAAATCAGGACAGTAAATAAAGAAAAACACTCAGAAAACGGAGCAATTCCGGACAGGAACAATCAGGGCCAGCTAACAACTCCCAACAAATGATTCCCCCAGGCAGGAAGCAACCAGGCTTTGAAGCTGCAAGGCTATTCAATGCTAATCAAGGTGGCCAATTGCAACATTCACACCCACCTCAAACAGACAAGAGTTCTTTCTCCCACCCTGGACATTATTCCACAGATATATAAATCCCATTTGTCTAGTTTCCAACAGATCTCATGATCTCTGAAGATGCCTGCCATAGATGTGGCCAAAATGTCAGTAGAGAATGCTTCTGGAACATGGCCATGCAGCCCGGAAAACTCACAGCAAACCAGAACTACCATATTTGCAGGTTTAACTTATTTTTTGGCAGATTTGATTAATATGTTCTCTCTAGGGATCCCTAGAGATCCCAAAGAGTTTTCCCAAAATGTTAGTGTTTTCAAGCAGGGCCAGTTAACAATCCCAACAAATGATTCCCCCAGGCAGGAAGCAGCCAGGCTTTGAAGCTGCAAGGCTATTCAATGCTAATCAAGCTGGCCAATCGCAACATTCACACTTGCCTCAGACAAGAGTTCTTTCTCCCACCCTGGACATTCAACAGATATATAAACCCCAGTTTCCATCAGACCCCACGATCTCTGAGAATGCCTACTATAGATGTGGGCGAAAACGTCAGGAAAGACTGCTTCTGGAACATGGCCATAAGGTAAAGGCAAAGGTTTTTCCCTGACATTAAGTCTAGTCATGTCTGACTCTGGGGGGTGGCGCTCATCTCTATTTCTAAGCTGAAGAGCCGGCGTTGTCCGTAGACACCTACAAAGTCATGTGGCCAGCATGACAGCATGGAGCACCATTACCTTTCTGCAGAATTGGTACCTATTGATCTACTCACATTTGCATGTTTTTGAACTGCTAGGTTGACAGAAGCTAGGCCTACAGTGGGAGCTCACCTTGCTCTCTGGATTCAAACTGCCAACCTTTTGGTCAGCAAGTTCAGCAGCTCAGCGGTTTAGCCCACTGCACCACCAGGAAAACTCACTGCAACCCAGTGATTCCAGCCATGAAAGCCTTTGACAACACAATGGATTCATAGTTGGGGTGGGGATATTTTGGGATGCATCTACACTATAAATTTAATGTAGTTTTTAACTGTCATCTATATTTTGGATAGAAGTTGGCCATAGGGACTACACCACATTTGGAACAGCTTTGAGTACTAATTCTAAAATCATGTTGTGAACACAATGAATGGGTTGTTGTAGGTTTTTCCGGGCTATATGGCCATGTTCTGGAGGCAATTTTTCTCCTGACGTTTCGCCTGCATCTATGGCAAGCATCCTCAGAGGTAATGAGGTCTGTTGGAACTAGGAAAAATGGGTTTATATATCTGTGGAATGACCAGGGTGAGACAAAGGACTTTTGTTTGCTGGGGCTAGCTGTGAATGTTTCAGCTGATCACCTTGATTGCATTCAATGGCTTGGAAGCGCCTGGGGGGAATCTTTTGTTGAGAGTGATTTCATGTGCCTTCCAAGCCATTGAATGCTAATTAAGGTGATCAGCTGAAACATTCACAGCTAGCCCCAGCAAACAAAATTCCTTTGTCTCACCCTGGTCATTTCACAGATATATAAACCCATTTTTCCTACTTCCAACAGACCTCACTACCTCTGAGGATGCTTGCCATAGATGCAGGCGAAACGTCAGGAGAAAAATTGCCTCCAGAACATGGCCATATAGCCCGGAAAAACCTACAACAACCCATGGATTCTGGCCATGAAAGCCTTCGACAATACAATGAATATGGTTTGGAAACAGAAGAGGGCAGCAGACACCGGCTTAACAAGAATAAAGGCAATCCACTTAGCAAATGCTCATGCCAATGTTGTGGCCTTGCTTTCCTTTCTAAAATAGCTAAGCAATGCCATGATATCAAAGACAAACAAACAAAGCAGATAGTATGAAAATGACTAAATAGAAATGTCATACTTGTTTATCATGCAACACTTTTGCATGCAACACTTTTAGGGGAGGAAGTAACGACTCGGTCGAGATGCTACAATGTGCACAGAACTCCTTAACTTGCCTATAGCACAAATATGGTAATAAATGATACATAAAGTAGTTTATTGATGCTAGGACGCCACTGTTACCACCCAAATATTGTTTTCTAAATTAAAATCAACATTTTAGAGCTGAGTTTTTGCAGATACAATGATTCACAAATTAGATCGAAATGTTTTCTCTGGGAATGTCTAGTTTCTCCAGTGTGATGTTGTGGTTGACTTCTGGTGGGAGTGCTCTGATGCACAACACCAGTAACTCTACTGCATTGCTTCCCAACCTTCCCAATGCTGCGACCCCTTAAAACAGTTCCTCATGTTGTGGTGACCCCCAACTATAAAATTATTTTCATTGCTACTTCACAACTGTAGTTTTGCTACTATTATGAATCATAATGTAAATATACGATATGCAGGATGCATGTTCATTCACTGAACCAAATTTGGCGCAAATACACGATACACCCAAATTTGAATACTGGTGGGGTTGGAGGGGATTGATTTTGTCATTTGTAGTTGCTGGGATTTATAGTTCGCCTACAATCAAAGAGCATTCTGAACTCCACCAATGATGGAATTGAACCAAACCTGGCACAGAGAACTCCCACGACCAACAAAAAATACTGGAAGGGTTTAGTGGGCATTGACGAGTTTGGG